CATTTAACATTGAAGAGGCTTAATGTGTTAAAAGTGTCTACTAGAATAACACACTTGGATTTGCAGTGTAGTAGTCTGATTCCAACTACCAATTTTTGTTGATCAAGCCTTGCTCGGATTTTCACGACTTTCTTGGTTAAAGAATAGAATTTGTATTTTGAATGTTGTGTTGAACTTAGAAAATTTCTGTTACCTGCACTGTAAATCCCAGTTTTCCAAAATGCATTATTTTAATGCGGATAAGTGTGTTAAATATGACGTCACCCATTTGATTAACATTGTAGTCACTTTTAACGCAGATCTAAGTGTGTATACTTCGAAAAATCTTATAATCAAAAAACTCTGTATCTATCTAACCATCATACTTATTTAATCAATCAATGTCGTTTGGGGTCAGCAAATCAAAATTCAACGTGAGTAATTTTATTCATTTACAACCTATCTGCTTGTTCTTTATACTTTGTTGTTATCTAATATGTGAAAATGCATCTACTATAGTAGAAAATCAATATCCTGAAATATTTCATAAATATTTCTGTGTTATATCTTATCTATCTCATAATCACCACCAACCTGAAGCAAGATCTCCGCTCCCAAGCAAGTTGAAAAAGTTCTTTCTCGCAACTTAAACTATGAGATTGTCAGCCAGTTATGGAACGTAACAATAGCTAGTCGTGATTTCTTGTTAAGGATTAATGATCCTATTTTCGTATATCAATCATAATTAAGTGAACGTATAAAAAATATTTAAATAAAAAAAAATTTGCTATTGGAGTAAGTTCTATGATTTTTTTAAACAATTATAAAATGATCTTTGTTATATCATAGTGCTATTTTTTATTAATGTAAATAATTATCTCTCTTTGTATTATTAAAATAAATACATTGAAAGTAGATAGACTATGAGAGTTCTACCGCACTTTTTTTTTTTCTTGGGATGCTGCGGTAGAACTCTCATAGCTGTGGACGCATGGAGTGGGGATGAATATTGTGGTAGAACTCTCATAGCTGTGCACGCTAAAGTGGGGGGTGAAGGTGTCTCTAAGGTTTTCATGGTAGAAAGCTGTAAACGTGAAAAGTGGGGGGTAGGGGGTGTCTCTAAGGTTTTTGCGGTAGAACTCTCATAGCTGTGCACGCTAAAGTGGGGGGTGAAGGTGTCTCTAAGGTTTTCATGGTAGAACTCTCATAGCTGTAGACGTGGGGGAGTTCTTGGGTTTTGTTGGGGGGTTGAGGGGGGATTCAGGCGTGGGAGAAAATCTAAGCATAGCCTTAGACGTGCATAGACATGCAGCTACATATCCTCAATTCAACATTAAGTAGGTTTCTTTGATAATTTATTAAAAAAAGGCATGCAGCTTAATGCTCCTTCTCCAATTAAAAGTCGAGAATCTATCAGTTACGTTTCGATCGTGAGTGAAATACAATCATTGTAAACTAATCGTTAAATTTATCCATCATCATTTATCTGACATGGCTTCTTTACCAAAAAATAAGTGTCATATATGTCGATCGGCAGATTGCTATGTATACATAGCGGAAGAGTTAGCATTTGAACATGATGTGGACTTGAGACCATTTGGATATTCATGGAAATTCCTTAAAGAAGAAGGATTGTATATTGGGTTTATTCGATCCAACTGTGGAAACCATACTGCAATTGGTATAAGTAAATCAACTAGTGAGTTTGATGTAGAAGAAAAAGTACATGAATCTCTGGCATATGCTTGAAAAAAAATTGTAATACAATTGAACAATTTAAATATTGAAGAAAACTTAAAGAATTTAAGTCTTCAGGAAAATTTTAAGATACTTGAAGATCAAAAAATAGATTCTCTACTTAAAGAAGGCTATGGCGCGTTGAGAGCCTACATTAATACACATCCTGAAATGCTCCCTGATGAAGATATAACATCTCGATTCAATAAGGATGAAATAAAATCATGGATTGTCGACTTTTGCTATGGGTGTGAGCTGAAAGAATGCTTCATAACACAATTATGGGCATTATGTACCAAACATCGCTACAAATACAATTTTTCATGGGATTCAATAACAGAATCATCAGGCAAAGTGTGCATAATAAAAATGGAAAATGAATATATAGATTCCAATGATATGAAAATCGATATTGGAGCTCTAGGAATAAGTATGTACAGGAGAGATGATATGCTCACAATTGAAAATTCGGAGGAATTTTCATGTAGCGCTCATGAAGCTACAGCATACGCTGCAAAAAAAAATAATTGCGCAAATAATTGATCCAGAAGCAGCTTAAACTACGCCTAACATTCTTCAAGATAATAAAATCAAACGCTTGAATCAAGAAAATATGCTCAATAAGCACATCGATGAGCATCCTGAAGTTCTTCTAGATGAGGATATGAGACGTGTCTATGAAACTAACAGTGTAAAACCTCACTGGTTCGCTGCAACAATGTAAATTTAAGATTTAAAAAAATGTAATCACTAATAAATTTATATATGTTCAATGTTTTCTCTAATAAACTACAAGTCTCACAATTCGGGAGCTATTTAATTTATGTTTTTTTTTAAATAAATAAATTCCTTTGAAATTTTTCATCGTTTTTGAAAGTAGAAGGGGAGAGGAGGATCTATGACTATCTAACAACAATCGAATGTCCATCGTAATAATCCTCAATTTATTTTAAGAATGATGTATCAGTATTTCTAAAACTCTCAGTCGAGTAAGATCATTCTTTCATTCAAAAAATGAATACTGTTGTGGTAAACGTACAAGGTTATACCTTTATGGATAGTGAGTTTGTTGTTAAAGAATTTTCTATCAACTCTTTGAGTAATTTCTAAGATAAATCATTAGAACGTACTGTGTTGTTTCAACCTCCACAAAGTTTTGCATCTTTAGAGTGCGATTATCAAAATCAAATTTCATGGGATACTTATGCTATTCATGGAATTGATTGGGGATATGGTGAAGTTCCATATGATCATCTAAAAAAAGTCATAACGAATGCATTACAGAATGCAACATATATTTACGTTGCTGATGGTTTACAAAAAAATTTTTTCCTGAAATTTTCAACATCAAATCAAGTAATAATTGATATTTCAATTTTTGGATATGGAACATCGGGTATAACATCAGCGCACAAACTTGAATGTTGTACATATGATACAAAACATTAACATATACATTTTTTCAAAATTATAATTATTAAATATTTCCTAAAGAACTTGCTTCTTCATCGATGCCACACAAGAAATCATCAATTGCTCCTTGATTCTGATGATTGTGGTTATTATCCATTTTTAATCCATGGATAAACATGGTATTGAAGCGTGCTGATGTAGAATCTTCTCATGACAGTCTATGTTCTCCAATATTATAATGACTTGAATATATCTCACCGCTCTCAACTTGAATACACGCCATTTCTTTACAGAAGAATTTTTTATTTATTCTAAAGCCATCCATATCAATGATGTGCGTTATTTTTGGATAATTTGCCATTGTTAAAAATTTCAGCTTTAATTACATTTAAAAAAATGAAACTTTAATTAAATTTTTTTATTTAATATTATGATGATGATGATGGTAATGATGACCCATTGCTTCTTCAATTTATATTGCTTAATATTCTGCAACACATGGCGACAAGTGATTCAGGTGCTCCATAATTTACAATACGTTAAGAGTACTTTTCTTGACGTTTCTTAGTTTGATAATTATAATTTGTGCTTTTATTTGTATCAAAATAATATCCACTAAATGGTAATATTTCCTTTTTACATATAGTATTATCAAACATCAAATCAATAAATTTAAAATATGGCTCGATAAACATTTGATCATTCTCAAATAACACATCAAATGTTTCTTTTGTGACTTGTATATGAATAACTTGTGAAGGTGTTCTTTGATGATTAAACACATGCATAAATGCATTTATATCAGAAATGTGATGAGTGCTACAATTTCGAATGTATTAATTGATTTTGTAGTAGTCATTTTGTTGTTCTATATCATCATTTTTTATAAAACATTCATAATGAATAATTCAATAATCAATATCTGTATATGTATTAGTATATCCCAATAAATATGAAGCAAATCCACCAGCGATGATTCCTGGTTTTGGTTTTTTCAATTCTAAATACACTTCTGGCGCAGTTTGTTCAATTTTTGCACATAAAGTTTGATTTAACGCAAGTCTATTTTGAATGTATAACTTGTAGAACTGATCACTTATCAACCACTTTCCCATATTTATTATACAATTTTACAAGACTTATGTCGGAAGCAAGACTGGTGATTTTTGAAAACAAATCTCCCAATAAATAGAGGGTAGGTTTTTTCCTCTCTACTTGTGTTTTCCCGCACAGGACATTTTTCTAGATTTCATAGCAACTTAAGATTATTAATTTTCTTTTCAAATTTATTCTCTAATAGGTTATCAAAGAAAGCTGCTTAATATCAAATTAAGGACATGCAGCTGCATGTCTATGCACGTCTAAGGCTATGCTTAGATTTTCTCCCACGCCTGAATCCCCCCCTCAACCCCCCAACAAAACCCAAGAACTCCCCCACGTCTACAGCTATGAGAGTTCTACCATGAAAACCTTAGAGACACCTTCACCCCCCACTTTAGCGTGCACAGCTATGAGAGTTCTACCGCAAAAACCTTAGAGACACCCCCTACCCCCCACTTTTCACGTTTACAGCTTTCTACCATGAAAACCTTAGAGACACCCCCTACCCCCCACTTTTCACGTTTACAGCTTTCTACCATGAAAACCTTAGAGACACCTTCACCCCCCACTTTAGCGTGCACAGCTATGAGAGTTCTACCACAATATTCATCCCCACTCCATGCGTCCACAGCTATGAGAGTTCTACCGCAGCATCCCAAGAAAAAAAAAAAGTGCGGTAGAACTCTCATAGTCTATCTACTATAGAAATTAATTTTTTTTACAGTACAAAAGTATAAATTAGAGTAATTAATAATAATTAAACTTTACAGATGAAATCTATAACAATCCTAAGAGCAATTCGAATTCTCGCCTACGTTTTAACAAAAGTTATTCAAACCTATATGTATTCATGGTGCGGAACACATTTAACAATGGAGGTAATAAAAATGAAAAAATAAAAAGCTGCAACTCAAGCTGAATGTTCTTTATTAAACAGAGCGAAGAATATAGAAATGCTATTTATAGTGCCGATTGGTATGGAGAAAAACGTTTTATGACAGCCATCATAATCATGCTTAAACAAAGACCATTAATATTGTCAGCATGTCACTTTTCAACCGTTTCCGTCGATATTTTTATGAAGGTAAAATTTTACCCATCAGTTGTGATCATTTCAGTTCGTAGTTAATCATTTATTGATATTATTATTTATGTAACTTTTTTCAGATATTAAATACAACAGTGTCATATTATTTTCTTATAAAAACGTTGGAAGCTTAAAAATTTGTTATATAATAGTTGATTGTCGACAAAAATGTGAAAGAATAAAAAAATAGTAATTTATTTGCATCTTAAAAAATTTTCTTCATTTATTATAAGACAAATAGGATTAAGTAGTAAGATGGGTTGTATAATATTTAAATTTGTTAAAGCAAAACAATTTATGAAAACATGCTTCTTTCTGTTTCACGAAAATTAATTCTGTCTTGTACATAACACAACTAGAACTTTTCCAACTAATTTCCACCAGCTTAAAAGAATACACTAATGCATGAAATTTACATAATTCATCTCTGTAAAACTAAGATTGTAAATATCAACGCAAGTTAAAATTTTTGACACCCTCTGTTCAGGAAAAAATTAACATTTCATTATATTACGCATTTTCCGGACGACAAGTTTCATTCAAATTAATCCAACTCAATAATTATTAATTTCGCTATACAAAATTACTGTAATCGGATAAGTTTTTTTTAAAACTTAAAATGTTTATATCTTTTTTTTTTAAACGAATAAATGTATGTGTGTATGTATAATTGATCAGACTTCTAAAAAATACTAAAAAAATATTTAAATATAAATACGAATAGTGTAATTATATTTAAATACTAATAAATTTATTCAACAATTTTCGTATATACTACTAGGTTATACGTACAACGTTAAATACATGTTTTTTTAATTACCATTTTGATGATTCTTATAATGATATTTCACTTTGTATTTTAAAAGCAATCCAGTATACACCAACAAAAGGTATTTTATTTAAAAGATTTAAAATAAAATAATCTTTTTAAAATATTGAAATACAATTATTAAATACTTTCTATTGTTGATTCCTTTTGATTTTTACTATGGTAACTGAAAATTTAATCAATAATCAATATTTCGTTCAATGAAGAAGATCGAAAAATCTAATGAAATATTGATTTTGTAACATCTTTCTATTTATAAGTATGTTGCTAATATTTTTTATTGTCAATAATAATTGTTAACATCCTAGTGGGAAGTTATTGTAATAGGTTTAATTGTGTAAATCTCAAATTTCGACATATCTTCACGTTTCAAGGTACCGAGAGAAAACAGTTTTTAAGTAGATGGCTATGTGTGTGCCTGTATGTATGTGCTTTTAGAGTTATTTTTCGTCTTAATTATCTCGAGAAGAAAAAATGATATCGATGTATCGATTGCATTGGACGCATAATTACGCAACTTAAAATTGATTATATTTTCAGCAAAATCGATCTAGCCATTTTTTATGCAGAATCAACTATCAGAAAAAACTAAAAAAAAGAATAACTAGCTAATTCGTTTATGAGAACTCAAGAGAAGAAAGATAATTTCAAAAAAAAAATCATAAGTATCCACGTTTGTGGTGGTTTTAATGAAATTAGAAATCGATCTTCAATATTTTTACAAGTAGAAGCAAAATTAGTCGATAGTACCATTTACTCCAACCACGTATGAACTTGCTCTCAAAATTAATGTAAGCATCGACCAATTACGATAACTACATTAAACTGGATGCTAAAAGGATGCTATTCGATATTCGATCGATATTCAATATTTGCGCTTTATCAAACTTGCAACTTCAGTTAATAACTTTGCCTTTAGATTAATTAATCAACTCATAAAAGGAATTTCATTCTCTTCATCATATTAAAAGGTCATTTAATCAAAATACATAAAGTTCCAATAGCTTAATCATTTATTAAATACTTAAAGATTAAAAATATTTGAAAACCATCGAAAACAATTGCAATTATAATTTTATTAAAAAATTAAAAAAAAGAGAGTTTATTCAACATAAAAATAGTAAAGAATAAAAAAACAATTCTGTAGGATCAAGTGATATATCTGTATACAGAGCCAACGACCTTCTGGGTAACTAGGTTGAAACTATTGGCCTGAAAGCATCTCAAATTGAAGAAGTGAATACGATAAGCATGGCTCGAGAAAGATCCTTTTTAAGTACCGTTTCGAATGGAGGTTCATGCGAAAACGAGAGGAAGTCGAAAGAACCAAGGAAACGGTAAGAATACTTATAAGATACCAGTAAAACATACCGAGCTAACGAACATTATATTTTTTGAAAATTTTTTTTTTAGGTATTTTCATGATGTCAAGAGCCATTTTGAATGCATTTTATATAGATTTTTTTAATTATGAGAGAAATAAATCGTCTTTTAGATCGAAATTATCGATTAAACTTGGAGAAATAAATATCGCTGCAGTGAGATTTAGGTAAGATAACTTTTATCTTCAATTATTTTCTAGAACTTATTGTTAATTGCGCAATCAAAAAAGTATGTAGTGCAATGTGGTAACGGTAATTGGAAAACTTATTTAGTAATAGTGTGAAAATAGCAGAATAATGAGGTATAGCACGAAATTGCACAAAAAATTCTTTTTTAACTTTGGCTCTATCATGTTCACGCAATAGATGGTATGATGACTTGGATAACTTGTAATTTATCGTTCATAATATTCAATATTTTCACCATTTTTATGTGGATATGAATTTTATGTACTGAAAGTTTTTGCTCTATTCTTCCAAATAGTTCAACTTCTAAAATTATTCTTTCTTATCAAGATTACGTGATGAAAATTAAATAAAATTCGGTTCAACTCAAAATCTGATTACTAAGATCATAATTTGATTAGTTTAAATTCTAGGTTTATAAATCTTATTCGTTACCTTCTTGGAATAAAGCGTTGATTAATTTTTTGTTTAGATTATTTCTGGCACGAATTTTTATTTTCATTCGCAATAAGATGAAAGTTATTTTTTCTAATTTCAATCAACTTGGTGGCCATTGCCTGTGATATAATATTTTCATCAGGAACATTTCCTGCCTACTATACACAGTAGATAGGAAGAGATAAAACTCGTCTATATCGTTATTTTTTTTATTTGTTCGGTTCAGAGGCCGAATTGTGACTGACGCACCAGTGCATACACGAATTTTTTCGATCGATATTACAATTGACAAACTAATACAAGCAATTTTGTCATTATCGTTATTTTCCAAATTGATCTATGAATTATTAGAGTATCTACCCCTTCCTAAACAATTGTATGCATGCTTAACTTTTTTCGAGTACACCATGACATCATACACAGGACTATCTATCTAACTGTCTTCAGAATAGCACTAATATACCTATCAGCTAAATCATTTTATCAGCAAATAAATTTTAAAAGATAGAGTTATCAAACATGTCCAGTAATAAAATATCGGAGTATTTAACTTACAGAGAAGTTGTTAAAAAATTGCTATTACTAACAGGGGTATGGCCAGTGGAAAAGCCTAGTGTGATTTATCGATCATTACCATATATACAAATAGTTGTGGGGTTTAGTATGGCTTATGTAATATTTGGATTTGTTCGAGCACATTCAGACAATATTAACTTAATGACGAGAGGGCTGAGTATAATAACTGCTTTTTTGACTATTGTCCTGAAGGTAACTATAATTAAATGAAATTATTTTATGAAGACTTTATTTTACTAGGGTTTATTCTGAATCTTCAATTAAAATAAGGAAATGAAATTTTAAAAAGTGCATTATGTAATTCTTCAGATTTTTTTTATGACAAAAAATGATAAATTGGTTTTTTAATAAAATATGTTTTATTTAATGAAATTTATAAAAAGTTGTTAATTAAATTATTATTTTGAGCAAAATCAACATAGATTGCAAATATATATGTATATTTGCATTTGATTTTTAATTCTAAACACCAACTGAATGCAATAATTTAGTAAAATGACATCATGATAATTTTTTTTTTTCAATTTATCTTAATGCTAATAATTTTTCAGAAACTTTTATAATAGAATAAAGTAACAAATATTTTTTTACCATTTTGATGAGAGAGAAAAATTAACAGAAAGTAATTCATTGTACATTATTGAATTTGGGCTTTAACAAGCTTCCATTTAATAGCTAACATGATGACCTTAAAAACATTTTTTTGCAACTACCCATACAATTTCCACAAAAATATCTCTCATTTAACTTTTGGAATCAAAGTTAAATTTTCATGTTTTACACATAGAATCACAAAAATAATATGTTTAATAACATAGATAACTTTATGCAAAAAAATTTTTATGAAAATATAAATATAATTAAATAAAATTATGTATCACAAAATTAAACTACATATGATTTACATTTTTATATAATTATATTAAAATGAGTATGGCCAATATTTTTATATATTTTCATATAACTTTTGTGATGCAATTTTAGAAATTCATATCAACACTTATATTTTCGGGAAAATTTTTATAAAAACTTCAAATTTCTCCACTACATGCATTTATACAAATTAATGACCATCGATTTTTTACTTTAAACTAGTATTGTTATTAATTTTAAACCTTTTTTATCATTTTTCAAATTTTATTTTCTCAACTTATTTGTGTTCCAATAAATTTACTTTTATTAACTGTTCATTTGATTTTGATTTGATTTGAAAAAGTCTGATTAAAAAATTTACACTTCAATTACAGTGGAGAAAGCATCAAATCAATATTTTAATCAGTTGAATATAAGACCTTACAAAAAGGTTTAGTGATATGTATAATTTTTACCTTCAATTAAAGCTGATATGTAAAATGTTTGATGCACAAAATTCATTGATGAATCCAATGTTGGCACCTTCATTCTAATTTGAGTGACATCTTCATGATCTATTCTTCCCCATCATCATCGTCCTCCTGAAACAATGGATTCTGTACAATAACAATAATTAATGAAAATAATTTTCAATTTATTTTCAGATGACATGTCTGATCATTTATCGAAGAGAAATATATGATCTCCACGAGCTTTTAGATGTATATTTTAAAAACTTACTTCAAGACCTAAATGTCATAAAAACAGTACTAAGCAATGTGACAACTTTTCGTCGATTAACAATAGTATTCATTATTCTAGTAGTTTACTCTTGTGGATGTTGGGTTTTTCTTCCCTTATACCATAATTATCAACAATATTCTCGTCACATTCAACCAACTAAATACGCACTAATATATCCTACTAACTATCCATGGAACATTCCAACAAGTGGATATATTTTTCATTTGCATTTTATTTTTGAAACTATTGCATCTACCATTCTATGTTTAATCACTACGAGTGTAGATTCGCTTTTTGCTTTCTACGCATTCCAAATAATTGGTCAACTCCGTGAAATTTCTCACTATATATCACTTGTTGATGAAAATAACAACGATAAAAGCATCATACGCAAATGCGTAATCCAGTACCAGAATTTGATGAAATGTCGAGATATGATTGAAAAAATGTATGGGCCAATGATTTTATGGATTATGATTACCAATGCAGTCATATTGTGTACTGTGATGTTCCAAATTACACATGTAAGAACAATAGCATATATTTGTTCATAAGACTTTTTTATAACTACCCAACTGGAATTTTTACATAATAATACATTTCTGGTTTAAATCAATTTTTGTTTTCTCTTCGAGAGGTTCAATTATTTTGACATTATTGTTCCCAATATGATATTATTATTAATGATACAGCCTCTTTGAAGAAAACAAACTTGAATTCTTAATTAAAAATTGTTTAATAGATGAAATCTATATCAAAAGGGAGAATTGGATTATTATTTACATGGATTTCTCTGAAAACTCTTCAAACCTTCATATATTCTTGGAGTGGATCTCAGTTGACAGTTGAGGTAATTAAATACTTCTTTTATTAGAATAAATTAATTGAAAAAATTTTTTACAGAGTGAAAATTATAGCACCGCCGTGTATTGTTCCAAATGGTATGGGAATAAAAGTTTCATGAGTTCCGTTATCATCATGCTCACGCAAAGGCCACTAGTTTTGACAGCCTGTAATTTTTCAGTCGTTTCGCTTGATATGTTTGTCACGGTAAATATTTTTTTAATCAAATTCTATTTATAGTTTACAAAATTTGTAATAACTTCAACATTAACAGTAAATTTCATTTTTAATAATCCACTGTATTTCTGATTTTTCTAGATCTTGAACACAACTATGTCATACTTTTTTCTACTTCAAGCATTAGAAACCGAAGTATAACTTTAATTATTCGGATTTTATTCTCATTAACCAACTAACTAATAGTATTACGTTTTTCGTACTTTTAAATAAGATACTGAGCAATAAGACCATTGTTATCACCTTCATCACCGTTGATCCCCATTGATCACTTATTTTTCATTTTTACATGAAAATGATATAAAAATTGAGTATGTAAATGATACTTTAAAATGCTCTTCTAAAAAGTCCACGATAATTCTCAGAAACAGAATAATTAAACCTCGATAAATATTAGTAATTTCTTAATTTATATACGTAGCTTTCAATGATGTAAGTATTTTTTAAGTAATAGACTTTCCTGAAACTAGAATTTTATGCTCATTATCAACGATTTTTGCTATCATTATTTATACTTAGCGTACATCCCTGTACAGCCCTAAAGAAGGGAGTTATTTTTGATACGATCATTATATTACCAAAAAAGATATTCAATTATGTTATCCTTTTTCATTTGTTTTTTTTTTCAATGTTTTGAAGTTCTTTTCATGGGTCTTATTTGTCCGGACTGCAAAAGGAACTGTATGAGTAGTGAAGTTTTACTGTAACTGTATATGTAGTACATACAATTGGTATTTGTATCTTCGGTAATACGATTTTTTCCCCCTTTTCAACATGGATAACCGATTTTTTAGAAGTTAGAATTTACTTCATGGGGAATAAACCCAGATATTGAGAGAATATTTGGTACTGAAACCTCAACACTTACTGAGTCACTAACGTGAGTTTCTTTTCACGTAATTCAAGATTGATAATTAATTCCATTTATAGATGATTAATTAAATATTTTCAAGTAAATACTATGCATGACTTTAATTAAGAAAAAAGTCTCTTATTCGTATTTAACTTTTGAACACGAACTTCATCACTGTCATCATGACTAATAAATCCTACGATGTCATTTGGTTGACAGCAGCATTAAGACTACTTCGACAATGCTTATTTTAAATTCAACGATCGATGAAGTCTTTGAACTCTAATAGGGTAATTCATAAATAATATTTTTCAATCATTTCTCATAAAAAATTACTTTTCTTTATGCATTTTAAAATCATCTTTATCTTAAAGAAATTGGTTTATACACTAATAGGATCTTTATCATAATTAGTTTGCTAAGGTTTTTCAAACATAAGCCTTGGAACAGCGAATTTACAATGGCAAACACAAATGTTACTCGTTACTTGCAATATCGTAAATATAATCAAGTTTTGTTAATGATGACTGGATGTTCTCCAAAAAATTTTAAGATAACATCTGCAGTGATTCCGAAACTATATTTAATCATCAGTTTCTGTATTACTTTTCTTTTATTTCGATTTGCGAAGTTGCATTATACCAATTTGCCTGTGTTGATTTACAGTTTGAGTATAATGGCAGCATCATTAATATTTGCTCTGAAGGTAATTATTTAATGATTATCTAATATTTTTAGTTTCTATGAACATTAAAATTTGAATCCAAAATATTCAGTAATTTTTTTGATATTTTTTAAGTTTTCCCTGAAAAAATTAATATTTACATTTTAAATTTTGACTGTTGTAACTGGTATCCAACGATCATATATTAAAAATGACTTTTTTGGAAATCTAAGAAAATTTACTTGGGTAGTGCACTGATGAAACTTACGTTTTTTTGCATCTTAACAATAATTCGAAATTATTCTGTAATTTATTAAATACTCAAACAGAAAAAAAAATTTTCATGCTGTCGTGCTATCCTAGTGATAATAATAATAATTGCTTTCTAAAAATGAAACAATGAAAATCACTGCAGAATAGTGGAAAAAGTACCACTGTTCGAAATAGTCGTACCATCATCAGTGCAAAATCAGTGAATTTTCATTATTACGCAGTCGTTTTCAATGATTTTCACTATTTTACTACAAGAAAGTAGTAACGACTCTGTAATTATAAAACTTCTTCAATCGAAGCTCAAACATTATTTAACAATTCTGAAAATTTTGTTCAAGGTGATTCTCTTGATATCGCATCGAAAAAAACTTCATAAACTTCAAACCATATTAGACTCACATTTCAATGAACTACTGAAAAAAAACGACATGTCAGACATCATTTTAAATAAAAACAATATTTACAGGTCTTTAAGTTATTGCCTTTCTTTTTCATTAATCATTGTTTCTTTAACATACATAATCATGCCATTTATTACGATAATTTATAATCATATTCATCATATTGAACCTACTAGACCGATACTCCTATACCCAACATCTTACCCATGGACAGTTCCTAAAACTGGATGTATATATTATCTCCATCTTTTGTTTGAACTATCGACAAATTTATCGGTTGCTATCATGACAATAAGTCTTGACTCATTATTTTTATTTTATACATTTCTGATGATTGGACAACTTCGAGAAATTTCTTATTGTATCACGCATATTGATGATAAGGAAAATTCAGCTGAAAAAGCAGTGGAGAAATGTGTACTTCAGTATAATACACTATTGAAATGTAGGAGCAATTTAGAGAAAATATATGGACCTATTATACTTGCTATGATTATTTGTAATGCTGTTATGCTTTGTACCTTGATATATCAACTGACTCAGGTATGATTTTTCACGTTACTTAATGATTAAAATAACTTTTCTTTCGTATACTGCAAGTCCGGAAAATTCAAATGTTTAGTAATAGAACGCTCAAAGTGTTTGATAATAAAACACTTAAATGTTTACAATGTTAAACGCCATAAAAAAAACTGTAGAATTTGTGTAAACAGCAAGAAGTGATTAAAATTCGTGTACAAAATTACTATAGTTTGTTGATAGGGTTTAACATTGTAATCACTTTAAATGTTTAGTTTCTAAACACATAGATTTTCAGGGCATAATTTAATTCTAACTATTGTAAGTAATTGTATTCAAGTAGAAATTTATCCCAATTATAATAGTGAAATTGAGTGCTAAAATGATCATTGTTTTAAGATAAATAAGATAGATATTCAGATGATCTATCATTGCATTTAAAGATATCATGAAAATAGTTCAATTACTATCTATTTAATTAAAAAATTAGCACTTAAATTTCTCAAGATAACGTGATTTTATAAAATTCTCAAAAATGATTGATTTTGAGCATTAATTTATTTTACAGATGAAAACAATCTCAATCTTAAAAGGAGCTAATTTTTTTGCTTTTGTTGTGACGAAATTGTTGCAAACATTTATATATTCTTGGTGTGGAACAAGTTTAACAAAGGAGGTAAATGAAAAAAATCAAATAAATGAAAAAACAAACAATTTAAGCACACATATGCTTTACCAATAGAGTGAAGACTATAGAATTGCAATTTATTCTGCTAATTGGTATGGAGATAAACGTTTAATGAAAGCCATAATAATCATGCTTAAGCAAAAACCACTTGTCTTGACAGCCTGTAATTTCTCTAATGTTTCTATTGATATCTTTACCAAGGTATGACCTAAATTCTTTTCATACAAAAGTTTTATTTAAATGTGCATATTTTCCAGATTCTGAATACAACTATATCTTATTATTTTCTGTTGAAAACATTAGCATAAATATTAAAATGCTTATAGACTAATATAGAATTATTTTAGTAAGAGAAATAAATTATATTCATAGAATAATGGTTTAAATAATTTCTTCCAATTAAGAGTTTCAGTGATTTTATTGAAAAAGATTTTCAGTTAAAAAAAAAAAGTTTTTTCATTACAATTAATGTAAATCTTTAATTATCGAAAGTACTTACTACTAGATTATGCTTAAACAAACCTTCACTTCTTAATAAGTACAAAATAATCACCAGTTTTCTCCTAAATCATTGTTATTACTGCACTTAGTGTGATTAGTAATTTCCATAAATTAAAGAATTATTTCCATACTCCAGTTTTAAAAGTACTTCTATATCGAAGCAGAGAATGAATAAATAATGGATATCTTAAATCTGGATACTCTTAGTTTCTTTCAACAGTTTTTATAAACGAATTTTTCTCAAAAAAACAATAAGCCATTCTTCGATGTGATCAATCGAAGAGTTGCATGGAGACTGTCGTCGTGAAGCTTATTGTAAATTCTTCGATCGATAGTTAGACTATTAAGGTAAATCACAAGCAATTTATTCCTTACATTCATTTTTTTTAAATTCATACAAATTGCCTTTCTTAGAATAAAACTTTAATATTCCATATGGACATGAAGCTCTTCTCGAATGGGCTCTAAATAGTTTATGATGATCAGTTCAACAAGTCACTTCAGCGAGTAATAATGTCGAAAAAATTGGATTCCAAAGTAACTCAGTTTTTGCAATATCGCGAGTTCAATAGAAACTTCATATGTTTATTAGGATGGTCGACTAAATATTCTAATGTCGTGTATCGTATTCTTCCATACGTATATTTAGTGCTCAATTTGGGCATGATTTTCATCATATTTCAGTTTGTAAAAGTTCATTGTAAGAATATTCACCTTGTTACTAGAGGATTAAGTGTTATGACAAGTTTTGTTATAGTTTCTATAAAGGTAAAAAATAAATTGCTTATCAATTTTCTAGTATATAATTTTAAAATCTTCATAGTTCGAAACTTTTGGAGTTTAATCTTTCTACTTTACAGATGACATGTTTACTAAAATACAGAAAAGAGTTTTTCGAACTTTATGAAATCCTAGATTTTCATTTCATGGATATATTAAAGAAAGAATATCTATCACACTTGGTACTAAATAAATTAGCTATTTATCAATTTCTTAGTTGGAATCTTATGGCATCTGTATTTGCTTGTACCATTTTTTTTAATTTCATGCCAATGACAACTATAATTTTAAATCACATAAATCACATTCAACCTGATCATTACATTTTGCCATATCCCAGTGCATTTCCCTGGTCTGTTCCTTTTACTGGATTAATTTATCGACTTCATTTTCTTTTTGAATCACTTGCAAGTTGGGCCATTTTAGTCCTGACTGCAGGATATGATTCAATTTTTATTTTTTTCGTATTTTTAATGATCGGAAAACTTCGGGAAATATCTCATTCTCTTACTCACATTGATGCAAAAAGCGATAGTAAGGTCATTGTTAAAAGATGTGTTAGTCAATATTGTGTGTTATTAAAATGTCGGGATAATCTCCAAAAAATTTTTGGACCAGTAATCCTATGTATGATGGCAACTAATGCTATTGTGCTTTGCACTCAGATGTATCAAATGACTCAGGTCCGTATTAATTATGAAAGCTCCAAAATGTATCGATTTTCACATTAAATTTAGACCGAAATAAACTCAACTATATTTTTTATTAATTAAACATTTGCATTTTTAATTGATTTTGATTCTAAAATGCCATTGAAAAAATAAACTCCTTTTTGTGGCTTTCAAAATACTTTTTGTTTTCTGCTACTATTGATATTATAAATAATATTACTATTCGTACTTTATAATGTTTGAAAATTATTTAAGAATTTTCTTTATAACAGATGAAATCACTAACGATTTTGAAAGCAGTTTTATTTTTTTTATACATCCATGTAAAAATTGTACAAACATATATGTACTCATGGTGCGGAACTCATCTATCAATGGAGGTAACGTGAAAAAATATACAAAAATTCGTGTCAATCGAAAACAATTATTTTTTAGAGTGATGCATATAGAAACGCTATTTATGCTACTAATTGGTATGGAGACAAACGTTTCATGACTGCTATCGTGATCATGCTACAACAAAAGCCACTAGTTCTGACAGCATGTAACTTTTCTATCGTTTCCATCGATATTTTCACAAAGGTAAACTTTATAAAACATTGCTTAAAACGATAATTTTGATTTGATCTGTTTTTTTTTTTTTTAGATTTTAAATACAACAATATCATACTATTTTCTGTTAAAAACGTTAGAATAAATACACTAACAATTTCAATATTAATCAAGCTTTTGGTTTGATGCATGTTGAATTTTATTTAATCTAGTCATTATTATTGTGCTTCAATTCTTCAACTATATTATTCTTATTCAATTTCATTTAGTTTTATATTTTTTTTTAAGAAACTCAAATCTTTTGTCCCATCTACTCTGTGCAAGACATTTTCTTTACTATATAACAAATTAGTGAGTATTTAAAATTCCATTTTTATGAGTATTTTGAAGTAATAATGATCTGTTGAATTAACTTCTGTACATTTAGTTGTTTTTTGTTACTATTTTAATCAAAATTTTTTTTTACAAAAATATAAATTAAACTTACACCTGAAATGTAATCGAAATCCATCGTTTTTCTCGTTCTTAATTATCAGTTATCTTAAATTTCTGGTTCAGTGAATTTCACACTTTTTATTTCCAATATGTCATTATCCACTTTTAAATTTCTCCAGTTACTTAATGAAGACAAATTAGATGTGGAGATACTCCTGTTTGTATTGAAGCTGCCACGAAGCTGAAATATTTTTTACAAAGATATAAGTGGTTTTACGATGTGATCAGACTAACAGTTGAATCGAGACTGTCGCTCCTAAGCTTATTGTAAATTCTTCAATCGATACCCTGACCATTAAAGTCAATCATGAGCAATTTATTCCTTACATTCTCTTTATCTTTAAATTCATGGAAACTAACTTTGTTCTTATAAAAAATTTAATATTCCATATTTCTTTTCTTAGATGGACTCTAGTTGATGAGTTTATGACGATCAGTTCAACAAGTCGCTTCAGTGAGTACAGAAAACGCCAGTAATGTCAGAGAAACTAGATTCTAAAGTTTCCCAATTTCTCAAGTATCGCAAGTTTAATAGAAATTTTATACTAGTGTTAGGTTGTTCTAACAAATATTCCAATGTAGTTTATCGTCTTCTTCCATATGTACATTTATTTTTTGGACTAAGCATGACTTTTGTTATATTTCAATTTGTTAAAGTTCATTACAGTAACATTCCTCTTCTTACTAAAGGACTAAGCGTTATGACTAGCTTTGTAATTGTTTCATTAAAGGTAACAGAAGTTCTCCACTATTCTAGTGTTCTAAGTATACTTAGATAGACAAAACTTATATACATATATAGACAAAACTTTTTATCAACGAATCTAATTGCTATTAAATATACACAATATTCAGTTAGTCCTGTAATATCAGGATAGAAATAAATCAACAAAAATCGTTGATAGAAATACAAATTATTGGTTGATTTCTAATCAGATTAAATTTTTTTGTAGATGATATGTTTGATAACCTATAAAACAGAATTCTTTGAGCTCCATGAATTACTGGACTTATATTTGATGGATACATTAAAAAAAACTCACTCTTCTCATTCGATACTTAATAATATAACTAAATACCGATTTCTTGGTTGGACTCTCTTCTTATCTGTATTCACTTCTGTCTTAATGTACTTTCTGATGTCATTAATTGCAATCATTTCTCATTATGTACATGAGATTAAACCAAATCATTATGTTTCCATATATCCATCTTTATTTCCTTGGCCTGTACCACCCACTGGATTCATTTCTCAGCTACATTTCATTTTTGAGTCATTTGCTAGTATTACACTTTTCCTTTGTACAGTTGGTGTTGATTCAATTTTTATATTTTTTATATTTTTGATGATCGGACAACTTCGAGATATAAAATATTCCATAACACACATTGATCGGAAATGTGATGCCAATATAATTATAAAAAAGTGTATTGTTCAACATTGTACATTGATGAAATGTCGTGATAGTTTTCAAAAGATCTATGGACCAGTTATTTTGTTAATGATGGTAACTAATGCTGTCGTGTTATGCTCTTTGATTTACCAAATTACTCAGGTATTGCATTAATTAGAAAATGATTTTTAAAACTAGTCAAAATTGAAAAAAAACCACATCAATATTTCTTTTTTTACTTAAATTTTGGAGTATATGAAAAAACATGATCTAAAATACTAGAATAAAAACAATTAATTTATTAATAGCTTACATCTTTAACCATACTGAAAGCAATATTACTTGCTACGTATATAACGATAAAAGTTTGCCAAACTTATATGTACTCATGGTGTGGAACACATATCACGATGGAGGTAATAAAAAAGAATAACATGAAAAATCAAAACTTCAGTAAAAATATGATTTACAAGCAGAGTGAAGAATATAGGAATGCAATTTATGCCAGTAATTGGTACGGAAATAAACGTTTTATGATTGCTGTTCTAACCATGCTCCAACAAAGGCCAATTATTCTGACAGTTTCTCATTTTTCAACTATTTCGATTGATATCTTTATAAAAGTAATATGTTTTTAATAATCTTTTCTGGCGTGAATCACTTTTCAAATGAATAACTAAATAATTTTTTTTTTAGATTCTCAATACGTCTATATCGTATTTTTTTCTGTTAAAAACATTAGATGAGTAGAAAACAGAGGTAATTGAATGAACTATATTTAAACACCATATTATATTGGTAAGTAAGACATAATTTTTTTGTTGCAGATTTTTAAAATAAAAATGTTAAGTTAGTCTAGAAAAATACATTTTTTTTCAAAAATAAAAATGAACATTTTCCAAATAATTATTTCGACAAATTATTTATTTGGATGACATTCAGTATATATTAAAACTTACGAGATGTTAGTTGTTCAAGTAAATTTTTATTATTTTCACAATTTTAATCACTTGTTCATATATTTATCATCACTAGGATTATAAACTACTACAAAGAAATTATGATTATTTGAAAATGTTTAATAACACTTTTGTTACATTAAAGTACTCTTTGTTGAAAAATATAAGCTTATATACGATGTGATCAGACTATCAGTTGCATCAAGACTGTCGCTACGATGCTTATTGTAAATTCTCCAATCGATACTAAGCCTATCGAGGAAAATCACGAACAACTCCTTTTGCATTATTTTTTTCTTCTAATTCATAGAATCGATGACATACTAGATCATAAAATTTTCATTCCCTACGCTGCTTTTCTGCATTACCTTTTAGCTGTTAGTCCAATACTATTATTTTTACAAATAGTTTCGGTAGACAAAATTTTATTGCTCATGCCAGAATTATCTAATTCAAAAGTATCAGAATATTTAGCATATCGAAAACTCAATACACACTTTTTAGCATTGTTAGGATGGACTCATTCTGGTGCAACGTATCGAATACTTCCATATATACATTTAATGATATGCTTAAGCATGATTTATTTTGGATTCGAATTTGTAAAAGTTCACTTTGATAATATTTTACTTGTCACAAGATGTCTAACGTCTTTAACAAGTTTTATCATCGTTTCCCTGAAGGTAACTAAACTATTTAATATCAAGTAATAGAATAATTTCTTTCATAAAAGTGAAATTATTCAATATATTTTACTGTGGTAAAAAATCATCATATTACTAGCGATGATCGAAAAATGATTTATTTGTCAATTGAAGTACGATCATCCGTTTCCTAATTCAAGAGAAGTTTTTATAATATTTACAGATAATTTGCTTAATTGTGTATAGAGAAGAAGTTGCTGAACTATACAATACATTAGATGGACACATCATGAAACTATTGAAAGAAAATCAATTGTCATCATATTGGATTCTTCACAGAATTACAAAATATCGAATTCTTACCTGGAATATCACTTCATCTGTGGCGATATGTACAATCATGTACAATCTTATACCACTTATTACAATTGTTTCTAATCATGTTCATCACATTCAAACTGATCACCACATATTTGTTTACCATACTCGTTTTCCGTGGCCTGTTCCTTTTACTGGATTTATTTTTCGGCTTCATTTTTTATTCGAATCCATTTCAAGTTGGTCAATTTTGATATTCACTGTAGCAGTTGATTCAATTTTTATTTTTTTCGTGTTCCTAATGATTGTGCAACTTCGAGAAATCTCTTATTTAATTACACATATAGATGAGAAAAGAAACAGCAATGTTGTAGTCAACAAGTGTATAAACCAATATTGTGTGCTGTTAAAATGTCGTGACAATCTTCAAAAAGTTTATGGTCCAATTATCTTATGCTTGATGATAACCAATGCTGTGGTGCTGTGTACTTTGATTTATCAATTAAGTCAAGTTTGTATAAATTATATTTTCATCATATTTTCTATTGAGCCATTCATTCAATTAAATCATTAACATTCTTCAAATGATAGATGAAATCTTTAACAATCTTAAAGGCGATATCATTCCTTCTATACGTTCACATAAAAGTGATACAAACATACATGTATTCATGGTGTGGAACACATCTGACCACAGAAGTAAGTAACAAATAAACCTGATGACATAAATACAGCCAAAAAAATTTCTGCAATCAGCTACTGTACGGTCCACTTTCCCACTTATCTGAAATTATTGGTGAGCTTAACAAGTCTCTCTGAACCCTAGTAGCCAACCCTGGCGTCAGAATTTTCGTGAGACTTACGTATGCCTGTTCCCGTTCTGCATCAGAGTGCTATTCACCGTATGACGTTAAATTTCCTGATGACAGAAAAAGGACAGATACATACGTAAATGACAACCTTAGACCGACATACGTAAATCTGCCGTCAGTCTTACGTTTATTTGGCTCTAGGGAAGCAGTTGACGTGATAATTTCGATTCCCAGAAGTTGACTATTGTGAATGTTAATTATCACTATTGATCTTAGTTTTTATTGAAAAAGTTTTATTCTCAGAGTGAAGAATACAGGAAAGCGATTTTTGCCGCTAATTGGTATGGAGACAAACGTTTTATGACTGCTGTCATAATCATGCTACAACAAAGGCCTCTAATCCTAACAGCCTGTAACTTCTCCGTAGTTTCGATTGATATTTTTATTAAGGTAAGTTTTGTATATCATTATCAATAACTCTAATACAACTATTCGATTTCTTTCAATAGATTCTTAACACAACGATATCATACTACTTTTTACTGAAGACTTTAGAATAACGAAATTCGTAACAATAGCAACACATAAGCTTAGAAAAGTAATAAGATACCAATAGTCCAAAAAATATATATTATCCAATTTTGATAAAATAAAAGTAAACATCATCATGGATTAAGAGACGAAACTGTAAGTTTTAAATATTAACTAATCAATAAATATATTTCAAATAAAGAATATTCTTTAGGTAAAAATAATATTTCTACTTTAAGAAAATGCACAAGAGACTTTCCTTTTTTGACTTGTCATAACAGTGTTTCCCCTCAAACACTAGCCATATGAAAAGAAAGACTACCAACTATTTTTTTAACCCTTGTAGAACTCGGCAATTTATACTTTTCTATGTGATATTCATATTTTAATAATTCATTGCTCTAAACAGGCAGATCTTAAAGTAATATATTATTTCAAAAATTATTTTGCCATCTTTTACTATTACCTTTTACATTATTAATAATATTATTTTTCATTAATTAGAATTCAAAAAAATCAGGTTGTTTGTTTCCTACTCCATAACACGTTAATTTTTTTTAATCATAATTATATTATATTCATACTCAAAGAGAATTTTTTCACTAAAAAAAAGTGCAAAAAGTGACAAGTCCACGTTTCAAAAATTAGAAGTAAAAATATTTCTATTCGATAGTGAATTTTTACATTTAGTGAAAAAATTCTCTCCGTGTAATGCATAAGAGCCCGAGTCGTAATTTTGGTCGCATTACAGCTCGCTACATACGCTATTGAAGGTTTGGCAGGTTATATTACATTTAAAGATAAGGGAGTCTTTCATAGTTTAATCTCTAAACAACCCGAAATTTTGGTAACTTTTGCTGCAAAAGACAAGTAGCGCAAAAAAAGAGATTAATTGATGTCAGTATAATTCGCTAGTCTCTCTAGATCAAACCTTCGATGGAGCAAGTATCTTGCAGTTAAGTTATGACCGGAACATAAAAGATTAAAAAATAGCGAGTTTAGCAGCTAAAAATGCGACTCGAGAGATCAGCCTAAAATTTTGAACAAATAAAGCTTAAAAAAAAAATCGTTTAATACTACGTTGATAAATGAAAAGCTAATTGGCAAATTAGAGAACAATAGTTCTCCACCGGAGTTTTGTTTGAACTTTCAAAGAGTTCGAACGCGTGTTTACGAGTCTTCGGACTTGTTAACTTACTGAGTGTCAAGAGTATTACGATTTTTTATGTTACGAATTTACTACTGTATTCTGTTTTTTCTTGGAGGAAGTTTCTTTAAAACGTGAGTTTCCCTGTGGACGCCATTAAAGGCTTTTGACTACAGAGGATCCAATGTCTTTATTTTTCTACAATATGTCTAATCAAACTTCGAAAATCTATCCAGATGCCACGTCAACAGACCAATTTCCAATCAAGAATCAAGCAATCCTGCTTGATGGCTTAGAAGGAGTTTCAATCAAAGAATACGCCAAGTATTCCGAACTGTCGTCAAAAAAAGTCGCCAACCAACTGATCGCCATAAGCAGGTTATCGCCAAAAATGACCGAAGTGTGCTCTGGTTAATTTCGATATCACCAACTACTTTATTGATGAATAATGTGACATGACCAGGACTGGACGAGTTTCGTACCCAAATATTTGAACGCCGAAATATACCTCGAGTGATTACCAGAAATCTCTATGCACACTACTAACGCCATCTATATGAGTTTCAGCTGCACGCGCAATACGATGCTATCCCGCCATCAACTAAATACACGAACAGTCGGTCTGCAGATAGCATAGAGAACTCTTCGGAGCAGTCGTTTAATCAGTAAAAACCGGTAGATTACTAGTTTCAATCTGGGATAGGCTGAAAGTTCTAGCTTGTGAAAATCGAATAGTACTGTTTTCAGTCTGGGTCTGCGGACCAACTCAGATCCTGCGCGATCATCTGGTCTCGAGGATACATCCGAGCTCTAGGGAAGGCCGAGTAACTGAGGTAACTGCGTTTTGGATCGTGTTCGAGGATTAATCTGGAAACAAGGTGTTCTACTCTTGGAAAAACATTATTCGGGTCGGAGGATTCCTAAATCCCGTACCAGTAGCAATCAGAGAATTCGATCTTGAAGCAGTTTTCGGTGAATATCTCAGTAACGAGAAATGGAGCAGATCTTTACGTAAATCGGCATCACTAGCTACTTCTTCATATGCGTTGCGCGAGAGATCACGGTACTGGTAGTTAAAGTAATTATTTATACAGTGAAATCAGATCAGAGAGGGTTAAGATCAATAAAATCAGAAAGAATCAGTGAAGTATATTGCGCGATTAGTAGAGTAAGAGAGACAGACATTACTATGTGCAAAAGAATGCGTTTGACCGGAAAACTTAGAAGAATTGTATCAAAACAAGACTTCTAAATAGATTAATGTATGTAAATTTGTGTATTGAAGAGTCATACAAAATTAGTCTTAGTTAAAATAAGTTTCCTTTAACTAAAGTCCAGAAGTCAGATATCCTAAAAAAACCCACGGAAAATTTTTAATAGTGACGAAAGTGAATTCTGTTTGTCCCCGAAAAAGCAATTCGTTCTTGCC